AAATGGGAGGAATTTATGGTGGAATATATGAAGTAGCAATGTGAGAAAGATGGAAATATTTATATATCCTATATTCTATATATATTCTAGTTGGGAAAAGAGGTAATAGAACAATGCAGAGTGGGGGGGTTTATATGGGGGGAGGGAGGTTTTATTTGGGGAGGAGGGGAAATTAGATAGGGGGTGGGGAGGTAATGGGAATAAAGATAGTAAGAAATGTAATTAATGATTTGGAAATGGCTTTTTTTTGTATGAGAATAATGATGAAATATGTATTTTATATGGAAAATAAATAAATATTTAAATTAAAAAAAATATATATATATATAGAAGTGAGTTGAAGTTCTGTGCAGGCAACTGGATGTGCCCAATATTGCCTTCGTGTTCCAGATAAGTAACAGGTATCTCATGTTACATTTACCAGCAACTACATTTTACAAGAACCAGTGTCATTGGATAAAACTTGAATGGATTTGATTTTGGTACAAATTTTAAAGTAGATTATACAAGGATTCTACAATTGAAGTAGGGAAAGCTTTAAAAAAAATTTAAAAAAAAAAAAAAGGTAAAAAATAATAATGATATTAATTTGATATTAATATGATAACAACTATACTGTAATAAAAGTTAAATCAAAAAAGGACATACAGAGCTTAAAGGTAACTTTATACGTGACTCTTTAAGAAATTAAATGAAAGCAATATTCACAAAAGACCCAAGGTCTTCCTACCGGGAATTATTAAAACTAAATAAAACCGAGAGATTAAATGTGCTTCTTACATCATATTCAAAAAGTCATCTTCAATACACCTGATTTCTCTGCAGTTAAGAATTTTTCCCAGTCATCACCCATCCATCCACGCTGAGCATAACAATTTCAAGGATGTTTTGTAAGTCAAGAAAAGAAATTTGAAAAAGAAGCAAAATACTCAAACATCACTTAGATTTTTATTAATTGCATAAAAATGATGTTATTGTCTTTTCTTTTGGTCTATATCAGTGGTTCTCAACCTGTGGGTCATGACCCCTTTGGGGGTCGAACGACCCTTTCACAGGGGTCCCCTAAGACCATCGGAAAACACATAATTCTGATGTGTAAAGAGCAGCTGCTGTGTAGAAAGCAGCTACTGTGTTGAAAGCAGCTACTGTGTTGAAAGCAGCTACTGTGTTGAAAGCAGCTACTGTGTTGGAAGCAGCTACTGTGTTGAAAGCAGCTACTGTGTTGAAAGCAGCTACTGTGTTGGAAGCAGCTACTGTGTTGAAAGCAGCTACTGTGTTGAAAGCAGCTACTGTGTTGGAAGCAGCAGTATTGGAGGTAAAACGACACTTCATGAATTATAATTGCTGGGTAAATAATTTTATGGTTGGGGGTCACCACAACATGAGGAACTGTATTAAAGGGTCGCGGCATTAGGAAGGTTGAGAACCACTGGTCTATATGATCGCTACTACCTAGCAAGGTAAGGCACAAAACTATGGGGAGGTTACTAAAGGTGGTTCATTCAGAATCTGATGCAGCTTTGCATGGTAGTCCATCAGCTTCTAACTTCAGCTTGGTCAATTAAGCTTTGGCTATAAAACCTGGAAGCTGATTGGTTTCTATGCAGAGTTGCACTAGATTTTGCAGTTTTGGAAAATAACCCCCTATATATGGTAAATATATGCATTATATAGTAAAAATAAACATGTGCTTTATTGTCATTTAACAAACCATTGAAAAGTTAATTTCAGTCATGCATTCACCATCACATTATGGACTATCCCATGCAGTGGGCAAATCAGGTACCTTTGCCAAGCATCTGGACTCCCCTTCTGCAATAGAAGAATTGTCTTATTAAAATTAAATTGTATCTATAAACATTTTTTTGGGAAGGGAAGGTAAGGATTAGAACCATGGAATTTTATTGTTTTTCATGTCCCAGCTTCATAGATTTATATGAAAATGCAGACTCCCCTTACAGCCATACCAGACTTCATTTTTCTGGGAAGGGTTTCCTCAAGACTGGAGTGTGTCTGTAGGAATATGTGCCCATTCAGTCAAAAGATCATTTGTGAGGTCAGGTACTGATTTTGGTTAGGAAGACCTTGCTGGCAATTGGCGTTCCCATGGTTTGGAAGGCCTGACTTGCAATTGGCATTCCAATGGTTAGGAAGGCCTGGTTGGAAATTGGTATGCCAATGGTTAGGAAGGCCTGGTTGGAAATTGGCATGCCAATGGCTAGGAAGGCCTGGTTGGAAATTGGTATGCCAATGGTTAGGAAGGCCTGGTTGGAAATTGGCATGCCAATGGTTAGGAAGGCCTGGCTGGCAATTGGCATTCCAATTGATCCCAAAGGCCTCCTGTAGGGTTGAGGTCATGGTTCTGTGCAGGATACATAATTACTTGTGTTTGTAACTATTCCATGGAAGGTGTGTTTTGATGAAAACTGAACCAAGGATGAAAAAAGTGATTTTCTTTTTAAAGCTGAACGCTACGGAAAGTATAAATCCTCCCTTGCACTGGGGCTGTTCTCATTCCACAAAAATTGAAAGCTTGTTTACATGTAAGAGACTAGGAAAGTAGTTTTTCTTACCTGATCTTCCTTTCCTGCAGGTTCTTTTGGGCTGCAAGATCAACCTCTGCAGCCACCTCTCCCTTTTGGCAGTTGGGTGCCCCATACATCATCAAAATCAATGCAGAGCCCATTATTTTTTTGAGAGTTGGACTGTAGCTTTAATCACTAAATCAAGAAGATGTGAAAGCAGCCTCACATCTGCATATCAGTGCTCACAGTTTTGGAATACAAGGTCCAACATGCTCATATATTGTAGGTGTAATGGTAATATGTCAACCAAATTTCAGCTGTATAGTGTAAACTGTGGCCCACGAGCTTGCTCTTATCTGGCTCTTGGGGCAATGTTTGGCCCACTGGTATGAGGCACTATTCCTCCAACTGATACAAGGCATTATTCCTCCCACTTACACCAATGATGGGTCACTATTCCTCCCACTGACACCCATGATGGGGCATTATTCCTCCCACTGACACCAATGATGGGGCACTATTCCTCCAACTGATACAAGGCATTATTCCTCCCACTTACACCAATGATGGGTCACTATTCCTCCCACTGACACCCATGATGGGGCATTATTCCTCCCACTGACACCAATGATGGGACACTATTCCTCCCACTGACACCAACTATGGGACAGTATTCCTCCCACTGATACCAAAGATGGGACATTATTCTACACACTGATACCAATGATGGGGCACTATTCCTCCCACTGATACTAATGATGGGGCACTATTCCCACAACTGACAGCAATGATGAAGCACTATTTCTCCCACTGACACCAATGATGGGGCACTATTCCTCTCACTAACACCAAGGATAGGGCACTTTTTCTCCCACTGATACCACCGATGGGGCACTATTCCTGCCACTGCTACCACCGATGGGGCACTATTCCCCCCACTGATACCAATGATGGGGCACTATTCCTTCCACTGCTGCCACCAATGGGGCACTATTCCTACCACTGATACCACCATTGGGGCATTTTCCTTCCACTAATACCAATGATGGGGCACTATTTGTCCCACTGATATCAATGATGGGGCACTATTCCTCCCACTGATACCAATGATAGGGCACTATTCGTCCCACTGATACCAATGATGGGGCACTATTCCTCCCACTGATACCAATGATGGTGCACTATTCCTCCCACTGACATCAATGATGGGGCACTATTCCTCCCACTGACAGCAACGATGGGGCACTATTTCTCCCACTAATACCAATGATGGGACACTATTCCTCCCACTGACAGCAACGATGGGGCACTATTTCTCCCACTAATACCAATGATGGGGCACTATTCCTCCTACTAATACAAATGATGGGGCACTATTTCTTCCACTGATACCACCGATGGGGCACTATTCCTCCCACTGCTGCCACCAATGGGGCACTATTCTTACCACTGATACCACCAATGGGGCATTTTTCCTTCCACTAATACCAATGATGGGGCACTATCCCTCCTCTTGCTGACCACGGGCACTATATAACTTTTTATAATCCCACTGACCACCAAACCTGAGACATTTTCTACTCCCACTTGCCACAGTCCGGGCCTTCCTGTAGTCTGAAGGACAGTAAATTGGCCCTTTGTTTAGAAAGCTCTTAAGGATAACAACACTGATATCTCCTCTTAGGGATAATAGCTCTGATATCCTCTCTCAATGCCTCCCCTTGGAAGTTTTACTGTTTTACTGTTTAAAAAAATTTTGGCTGAATCAGGTGACAAAATTAATGCCGAATAGAAATCACAGTCACTTAGCAGACATCCTATGCTCCCTGAGCCGGTTAGATTTTTTTTTTTTTCTTTAGTTTTGGATACAGTGGAGAAGAGTTAAAATTTCTCTTTGGATTAAAATAAAGTTTGTGACCTCACTAGAGAGATTTTCCCTAACTTCCTGTCCCTGTCACGACTGTACACAAAATAGGGGTTGTGGATTTCACAGGGACAGGAGGGCATGTACTGCAATAAAAAGGCTGTCAGAAGTTCTAAACACTTCCTCATATCACTAAAAATGTGTTTTTTTTTTTGTGTATCCCCTACAATCAGAGGTGAACTGAATGTGAAAGTAATGAACCAAACATCTCCAGGAAGGTTTATCCTCCTTGGCCTATCTAATGTCCCATATCTCCAAGCCATCTTCTTCCTCCTGTTCCTAATGATGTACATACTGACATTGTCAGGGAATCTTCTGTTGATCATTGTGGTGAGGATCAACCCAAAACTACAAACCCCCATGTACTTTTTCTTGACTAACCTCTCCATTATTGATATCGGCTTCTCCTCCAACATAGTTCCAAAAATTCTCATGAACACCTTGCTTATGGATAGAAGTATCTCCATGTTGGAATGTGCAGTCCAGATGTATTTCCATTTGGCTTTAGGATCAACGGAGTGTATTATTCTAGCTGTCATGGCATATGACAGGTTTGCTGCCATCTGTAGACCATTACACTACAACACTATCATGAACAAGAAGATCTGTGCCAGTTTAGCTGTAGGGTCATGGAGTATGTCCTTCATGAACTCTGCCATCCATGTCACCTTCACATTCCATCTCGCCTACTGCAAGAGTCCTTACATCCACCACTTCTTCTGTGAGATACCTCTTTTCCTTCGAATGTCATGTCAAGACACTTGGCTAAATGAGATAGCCATGTATATTGGGGCAAGTGTCATTGTTATGTGCTCTTTTATTTTGACTCTAACCTCATATGTCCACATCATCTACACCATCTTGAACATCCGTTCCTCACATGGAAGACAAAAAGCCTTCTCAACATGTGTTTCCCACCTGATTGTGGTGGTTCTCTACTACGGTACCATCATGTTTGTGTATCTGCGACCCCTCTCTACTTACTCTCCTGAAACAGACAAAACTGTGTCTATTATCTATACAACTGTGACACCAATGTTGAACCCCATCATCTATAGCATTAGGAATGAGAAAGTCAAAAACACCATTAAAAGAAAAAAAAAAAACAGAGTGTAAACAAATGGCAAACTTTTCTTTAGGGCAGTGGTTCTCAACCTGTGGGTCGCGACCCCTTTGGGGGTCCAACGACCCTTTCACAGGGTTCCCCTAAGACCATCAGAAAAACACATATTTTCGATGTGTAAAGAGCAGCTACTGTGTAGAAAGCAGCTGCTGTGTTGAAAGCAGCTACTCTGTTAAAAGCAGCTACTGTGTTGAAAGCAGCAGTATTGGAGGTAAAACGACACTCATGAATTATAATTACTGGGTAAATAATTTTATGGTTGGGGGTCACCAGAACATGAGGAACTGTATTAAAGGGTCACGGCATTAGGAAGGTTGAGAACCACTGCTTTAGGGGCTACATAAATACACATATATAGGGCTTTTTTTCAGTGGGAACGTGGGGAACACAGTTCTGGCACCTCCAGCTCTGGAGGATATATTTAATGGCAAGAGGAGGTGGGGTGTGCCTAAGGGTCTATTGTTGCTGGTTGTTGGGGGATCTATTGTCCTTGGGGAGGATATGTTGTTATGGGGGTCTAGTGTTGCTGGGGAGGTTTATTGTTACTGGTGGGAGATCTATTGTTTCTGGGGGTCTTATGTGGCTGGGAGGGATCTACTGTTGAGGGAGGGGGTTACTGTTTCTGGCTCCTGGAGGGTCTATTGGTGCTGGCTGCTGAGAGATCTGTTGTTACTGGTAGGAGTCTATTGTTGTTGGGGAGGAGTTATTGCTATTGGGGGACCTACTGTCGCTGGGAAGTTCTATTGTTGCTGCTGGTTAGGGTCTATTCTTTTGGGGTGGGTCTATTGGGGGAATCTACTGTTGCTGAGAAGATCTGTTGTTGCTGGCTGCAGGGGATCTATTTTACTGATTTTCTTGTTATCATTAACAAATTCCATCCAAATTACTTAGCACTACAAAATTATACTTGGCTTTGTATTCTCTAAAAGGAGAGGTAATGGGAGGTAATGAGAGGTGGGTAGGAGTGGAACAAAGGGACGGTGCTCAGAGGTTGGTAGGGGATGGAGACAAGGGGTGACTCGAAAGGGGGAGTATCTGCACCTATTCTCTGAGAAATAATAGATGGGGATCTATTTTTGCTGTGGAATCTTATGTAGCTGGGAGGGATCTAATGTTGAGGGGGGGGGGTCTACTGTTACTGGCTGCTGGAGGGTCTATTGGTGCTGGCTGCTGAGAGATCTGTTGTTACTGGTAGGAGTCTATTGTTGTTGGGGAGGATTTATCGTTATTGGGGGACCTACTGTCGCTGGGAAGTTCTATTGTTGCTGGGGGATCTACTGTTGCTGGAAAGATCTATTGTTGCTGGCTGAAGGGAATCTTTTTTACTGATTTTTTCTTGTTATCATTAACAAATTCTATACATATTACTTAGCACCACAAAATGATACTTGGTTTTGTATTCTCTAAAAGGAAAGGTACTGGGAGGCGGGTAGGGGTGGAACCAAGGGATGACTCGAATGGGGGAGTACCTGCACCTATTCTCTGAGAAAAAAGCCATATATATATGTAGAACAGGGGTGTCAAACTTAATTTCATCGTGGGCCATATCAACATTATGGTTGCCCTCAAATGGCCAGTTGTATCTGTAAGACTAGATATCCAGAGCACCCCCCCCCCTATTGCATCAGATGTCAAGTATCCCACACCCTCCCTAACATCGCCATGCACCCCCTTTGGGGGGCAGAGTTGGAAAGCAGAAAGTGCAGGGTATGGAGAAGGACCAGAGGAGGAGTGGAGTCAGTTACCAGCAGGAGTGGACTGACCATTTGGAAACTCCTGCCCGAGGGCCCGGGGTCAGTAGGGGGGCCCCATGGGATTCTCCTGGTACCTTTTTCATAGGCTTTTTTGAGTTTGGGCAAGGACACAGGGGCCCCATGATCCCCTATTGCCGGGGGCCCCATGAGTTGTCAGTTCGCCCCTGGTTACCAGAGTCTGCTGAATGCTGAGACCAGGGAGGCAGAGATGAGGGGGTGCTTCAGCTGCACTGAGAGGTGCAGGATTTGGCAGAGGAGTTCTATTCTCCTCTCTGTTGCCGACTGCTGAGACAAGGTAGGGGTGGAGACAAGAGGGTACCTGCAGGAAAGGTGCAAGGGCCACATGAAATGGCCTGGAGGGCCGGATTTGGCCCACGGTCCTTGTGTTTGACACCTGTGATGTAGAATATCTATATAGATAAATACATGCAATATACAGTATGTGTATATTAAAAAAAAACAAAAACTAATATGTGATAAGTACACAGGTTGCCATCAGGGCCACCTTCTAAAAAATTCTAGTTGCTTGGTTGGCTGGCATATATTTTTTTTTTATTATTTCCATACATTCTGGGTTATTGACAAAGAACTAGTATGCAACGAGTGACGTCAGAACCCAGGCCTGCATACTTGTACCAGGAGGGTCTTCCTAAAGTCACATCCACAAAATCCAGAAGTACCTGTAAAGCCTTGAATATGATACGCTGTATAAAGGTGAAGACCCATGGTCACAAAATGTTGGTGATATAATATTTTTGCTTTATGCAGTTCAGCTGACCATTCACCTGACTGCTGACCATTCAAAAGGCCAATCCCGCACTGTGGTTAACATACGGCGCTATATCCACCACCATATTTTCTGCATAAACATTTACCCTTCTTTCCCTACGTTTTACCCTTCTTTCAACACAAAACTCACACTGGAAGCAAAACTGTAATCTGAAAATGCATAAACCAGAAAAATGAGTTTTTTTGATGTTTTAAAGCCCAACTTCAGGAATTAGAAAAAAAAAATCTATCCTTACATTAAATCCCCCCCCCCCCCTTTCCCATACTGCAAGTGTTAAATGCTCATTATGCCTAGGCATACTGTCATGCACCGCCTAGCAGGATCTCTAGTGACCCACAGAACGAGATTCCCCAGGACGCGGAGTCTAAGTCCCAGTCTGCCTTTTCACCAGAGCCCCTGATGGTGGGGATGGACTTGGTGCAAGACTGAAACCAGGTCGCGGTCCCCGAGTGCACCCAACTGTGGTAGAGGGGTCCCGCTGAGGGTATGTGCCAGGGGTGAGCCTGATGTGAAGAGGCTGACAGGTCCAGGACCCGTGGGGGAGTATTTTTAAAATATATTTCAAATATATTTTTTCTACCATAAGGGTAGTAAGACTACTTGCGGTTCCTCAAAGTATAACTTCTGATCGAGGGGTTCAGTTTGCATCCACATTCTGGAAAGAACTTTGCAAGACACCTAAATGCGAAACTTGGTTTTCATTGGCATACCATCTTCATACAAATGGCCAAACGGAGCACACAAACCAGACCCTAGAACAATACCTTCAATGTGTCTCTTCTTTTATGCAAGATACCCGGTGTCAGGAATGGACTCACCATTAGTGGTGGGACTCATCTGCCGTGTGGGGTGCAGTACCAGGGCTGGCCAGCGGGTGCTCTCAGCAATCAGAAGCTCACTCCTGCAATCAGCCATCACCTGAGGCTGATTGCAGGAGGTGTATTTAAGGAATGGCCAGACCTGCAGTCAGTGCCTTGGTGTATGTTTCCCATGAGCCCATGTACCTGCATCCTGTCTGCTTCCTGCCTGATCCTGACTCTGCTTTGATCCTGACTCTGAACAAACTCCGCCTGTCCTGACCTCGGCTATTCCTGACCACTCTTCCGCTCGCTCCTGGTACCCTGTTTGCCCGTTTGCTACCGACCCGGCCTGCCCGACTACGTTCGATTTGTATATATGGTTATCTGTTGGAGGTTGGGTTGTTTGCACTGTGTTATGTTTACCTTGCACTGCGTTTGTGTTGTTTAGTCTTTAATAAATTGTCTTATTTACACTATACCTGAAGCCTGCGTTTCCCTGTGTCAGTCCACACACCTCTGGTTATACCCGGAGCCCTGACACCCGGGCTTCACTCCTTCCCCTAGCGGAGTTTGCTAGGGTCAAACTACAGGTCAAACCCCATTTTTTGGAAATTTGGTGTCTAGTCAATCTTTCTTACCTGATATAATCTCTGATGCACCTGTACCAGCAGTTAAGGAGAGACTGGAATTTCTGCAAGCCAACAACCACGTTCTACAGGAAGCTATCGCTAAGGCCCAACAGGACAATAAGAGATTCTTCGATGAGAAAAGAAGGGGTGACCTGGATCTCAAACCAGGGGAAAAAGTTTGGCTATCCACTGCCAATTTGAAATGGCCTTGTCCTTCCAAGAAATTGGGTCCCATGTACATTGGCCCATTTCCTGTTAAAAAAAAAAAAGAATCCGACAGTTTATGAACTTTTGCTACCGAAAATGTATAAAATCCATCTTGTTTTCCATGTGTCTCTATAAAAACCTGCTGGTACAGATCCATTTCCTGGCCATAACCCAGATCCTCCAGCACCAACTATCGATGATGAGGAGGAATATGAAATTGAGGCCACTGTGGACTGCAGAAAGAGGAGTGGCTTCATTTGGTATCTAATTATGTGGAAGGATTATGGTCCAGAAGAAAAATCTTGGGAACCAGAAGGCAAAGTTCATACTAGTGAGGAAGTTTTTCCAAACCCACCCATTTAAAAAAAAAAAATTTTATCACTTTTATTCCTATCACAAGGAATGCAAACATCCCTTGCGATAGAAATAAGCAGTGACAGGTCCTCTTTATGGAGAGATGTGAGGTCAACAAGACCCCACATCTCTCCCTCCTCTACAATGTAAAGCATTGGAGCAAAAAAAAAAAAAAAAAAGCATTGATCCAGAGCTTTAAAAAAAAAAAAAAAGGCCTTGTTTGCATGGTGCTGGAATGGAAAGTAACCCAAGAATTATTACTTGGAATTACACATAATCAAGTATTTAAAATACTTGAAAAATGAAAGAAAGAAAAATGAAAGCAATAAGAAACACATATTCAACAAACAAATAATATACATACATGTCTGTACACACATATATGTTGACATGTATGTTTATTATTTTTTTTTTTGTTAAATACGTGTTACTTTTTCCTTTTTTTCTTTTTTTTTGTCC